ACACTATTAATGTGATTGATCTCACTATTCATCTTTGCACTATTAATTAATTGTCCCTTATATGTTGTAGCTTTTTTAACTTGCTAAATTAGTTTACTTAATTTGACTGTAGTCTTGTGCAAATTAGTAGGCTTACTCTTTCTTGTTCTATTCTTTGAACTGTGAGGTACTTTCTTTTTTGGAATATTTTTATCTGCCACCCTTCTAATTGCACCTGCCAAAATATCCCAAATTAGATCAAGTTTGTCAGGTGTAGTTATCGCCCAATATCTTGTAAGTACTTTATTATCAGCTATAAACTTTTTGAAGTTTTCTTGATACTGTTTCCAATCATCGTTTGTTGCTTTGTCATACAAATAAATATTTCTTAAGATCTTTTTCTTCCTTTCAGTTGCTACACTACAAATACGAACTAAATGCCTCATTGTAATACTAGCTGTTATTATTGCATGATCACTTGCTATTATTACATCTGCCTTTTCAATATCGGCCACTAATAACCTATATCTCAGATCTTTAGATACCCATATCTAATCAATTCTCATTACAACACCTTGGCCAACCTATGAATACTTCATAAAATCTGGATTGACTATTCTAAAAGTATCAACAAAGCCTTGATTTCTAAACCATTTATGCAACAGGAGGGACTTAAATGTTGAACTACTACTACTGCATTTGTCTAATTCTTGATCTATAATATAATTAAAATCATCTATTATTACAAATTGCATATTACTCGTTCTTTAAATAAAGCTTGTTATAATCTTCTGCTGGACCCTATTAATTAATATCTTATCGCTTGGTGGCAAGTATACTACTATAACTACCACTATTGTTTGTTTAAAATAAAACTGTGCTTTAATCATATACTCCTCAAATCTAAGAACCTGCTCTAGATGTCTTTCCCAATAAGAGCTAACTAGCAAACCTACACCTAAACCTTTTCTTTTTGTTACCTCATATTGTGACCAAAAACTCTTCATATTGATTCCTTCCAAACTAAACTTTAAGTTTTTTTCATATGAATTTGTCTTAACTAATCCCAATAAATCTACTTCTTTCTCGATTGCCCACTCAGTAATTGCCTCTAACTTGACTTTGTTACCTCTTATTCCATTGATATTATAACATGCTATATTGGCTCAATACTCTCTTTCATTCGCATTTACCCTATTTCTATTGTCTAGACTATTGCTGAGAGTACTACCTTGCTAGACATACAACCTATCTTGTAGTCTCTCAGTTTCTATAAAAGTGCCTACGGCAACCTTAGGAGTGATTGGGGCTAGCAGTCCCAAAATGTCTTTTCTCAATTCTGTCAAACCTACCAAATATCTCATCAAAAATACTTTTAAACTTTTAATCAAGATCACTCTTTTCATTTTCTATTTTAGCTTGTTTTCTTCTGGATATTGCTAAAGATTCTTCTACCTTGGGGTCACAATTTTCTTTGTCGTCTTTTGTAGCACTTTTATATACACTCTTCACTATTTGTTGTCTCTTTCTTTCTTTATTTTTGCTTGTCATTAGCTCTGAACCTTGGGAGTTGTTTATGTTTTTACTCATTTCTTCTATGACCTTCACTCTTTTACTTCTATTCCATACATTAATTCACTCCAGCTTGATATCCAAGTAGTACACCTCTCTTGATAGCGCTTTCTCCAACTCCTCACATGACCCAAAATATACTGTCATCGTGCATCGTTGATTCTGATTTCTGTTGTAAGAAATGTATACTGCTCTCGCATTTACTACTTTCAATTGACACAGTAGTAGCATTTCAATTGCTGATTTTATAAGGTTTTTAACAACCACCTTATACGATGCTCTTTCTTCAAGTATTGCTTTCTCAAAACTTCTTGGCGTAACCCTACATGTTTTTTCTTCCTCAAAGTGAATTGTCCATGCATGCTTGAAATCTTTCATTCTCTTTTTACTCCAAAACTTAATTGAGAATTCAAGTGCTTTGCTCTTGCCAAAAGGTCTCCACTGTACAAATTTTGTTTTACCATAAAAGTGAAGAGATCTGCATACTTGAGCTGGATATGTTTTTAGTAGTATGTTCTATATTGTATAGGTCTCAAACTATGCACTACTAATATTATATCTAGTTAACTGGCTATTTGCTGTAACATCATATTTCTTACTTTCTTTTACTTCAGCAGGTACTGCTATTATACTTGAAGATTCTACTGCTTTTGCATGTTGGCTAACGTTAACTTCAATATCTGCTTCTTCAACTACATATTTTTCTAATAGTTCAGGACTTTGTTTGCCAACTGATATTACCCTATAATCTTTCAATATTTCTACTGTTCTCACATGGTGTAATTTGGTCTTTTTTCCTTTACTTATGTCAAGATTATCATCTTGCCACTTACTCTTCTTTGGTACTACTGCACCTACTTTCTCAAACATGCTCATTTGCTTACTATCCTCTTCTAGTCTGGGTGCAGACTTCTTATCGGCTTGGATCTCTTTAATTCTATAATCAATACAACCAACCTCATAGACTAACAAGCTTTCAATGTTTTGCTTTTTCATAGCAGATACTCTACTTTTATCGCAGCTAGTTGCTTTGCTATCTCTTACTCGCAGAAATTCACAATAGTTATATAGCTCAATTATACTTCAAAATATACACTGTTTCTGGTTCCGTACTAGTAAGTGCTGCAATTTCTTTATTTTTTCACAACATGCTTGGTTTATAACTTTCTATTACTAGCTTCTGTTCATTTACCAATCTTTTAAACAAGTCTCAGTATTTTTCGAGCCTTCCAAGGTTAATCAATATTTCTAATGTACTCCAATTATTCTGTATTACCGGCTCCTGCATGATGGTCTAGACTTCTATTATTAGTTTGTTTGTTTACGTGTCTGCTTCTTTGTTTATTTGTTTACATCAGATATACTAATTTGTAGCTTAACGCGTTTTTGTTTACGTGTTACAAACAGCAATCTATATTCGGGTCTAGCCAATTTTTCTATTTTTTCAAAAATTTCTTTTATCAAAAAAACCTTTTATTAAAACAACTACTCTATACACCTTTTGTTGAAGTCTATTGTTCTAGAATAATATGTTCTTTTCGCACTGACTAATACTCTCTTTTAATCTCTCACTGTAAGTTCACCTAGTACTGTTTTGACTTTTTTTGCATTTTGGTTCTGCTCTGGTTTTGGTCATAGTGATCGTTGGGGAGAGTTGAAATTTGAGAATGTTATATGATAAAATTGATATACTGTATATACATAATTTAAGATATTAATATTATTGAATATTATCTCTGGTTGAATACAGAAATATAAAACACTTGGGTGTTAGCATATCTTTTATAAGTCGAGTTCTCAAGCATTTTCAAAGATATGAATATATTGAAAAGCTTTTGGCACTTTCAGAAGAACCACGTTTATTAAATATGAACGATACAAGATATTTTACAACTTTAATGAAAAATTCTGATTGATATTTTATAAATTACAATCTAAGATGAAACTCTGATTAGATGTAAAATTAGTCTTAAACCAACCTGTATATATTACAAATAAAAGTAATATATTTTATTTATATACAGGATCTTCTTTTTCTATATACTTCTTTTTGTTTATTCTTTGTAGTTTTATTTTTTTAAAAAAGTACTTTAAACTATATAAATAAAGTAAAATTAAATTGATTTAAACTACCAATCATACGAAAGTCTTTCCTATGAGTATGGTATAAGGTAGCATCTATAATTTATGTCAAACCAGTATTATATTTTAAGATTTCTATAACAATACTGGTACAATATATATTAAATCCAATTTTAGAAACCTCATATTCAGGCGATAATAATAAACCACCTTTTTAAGTTTGTATTATATACACAAATAGCATTTATGGACATCATTCATGAGTAGGGATAGCAAATATTTTAAACCATGATTTTAGAACTGGTGATTGTTTTATTTTTAATTGTTTAAAAATGTTTTAAAATGTTTTTTAATTGATCTAAAAAATATAGCATTTAATACTGGACCCAAAATTTACTGGCCAAAAATACAATAATTTTAACTTTAGTTAAATTTTAATATTAGCTTTGATGTTTTAAAACTTTTTTTAACATCAGCTTCGATGGTTTAAAACTTTTTTTGAAACAATTAAAAACATATAAAAAATGGTTTAAAATATTTTTTATACTATCCCTATTCATAAGTCTCTATGATTAGAACTCCTAACACCCAATCAAATTGCTTGATTAGGTATGAACTTAGATTATATAATACATAGTCACAAGTTAAGGATCTATTTTAGCATATATATTTATTATATAAATACAAGCCCCTTTAGATGGGGTTTATCTCATAAACTAAAGACCAACAGAGATCATCTTGTCATTTTGCCCAAGGTTTCACCTTTCGGTTAAAGCTTTGTCTTTTACCTCTAAAATAAACGCACTATAAACCAATAACACATTATAAACGTGCTATAAATGCACTATAATTAAAATAAACATTATAAACCAAAATGACTGAGTCTCTATTGTCTTCATCTAAACAAATGGAATACCTAATTTTGTAAAAAAAGTGCTCAAAGGTATAAAAAATAACCAACAGCAGCTTGCAGCTATACAACAGTTGCTTGACAATCAATATATGAATCAAGATCAGAATAATGAGATAATAACACCACTAGTGATGCCACTGAAATTGATTTTCAAAAAAGGCCTATTTCGTCTCTATTAGAGCAAATTAAAATTTTTTATAAGAAAGAGCAAATAAAATTTATATATTTATACTCCTTATAATTTCGTCTATTCAAAAAAAGTGTTAAAAAATTTCGTCTTTTAAGTAAAATAGGTCAAAAACAATTTCGTCTTCAAATTTTAATTTCGGGTTTTTGAACCCAAAATAATTTCGTCAGCATATATAAACACCATGAAGAAGTATATATATTCTGAATTATAATATTTCATTATCTGTTATTTATTTTTTTAAATTTAGTATTTTGAAATTTTTAGCATCAGTTATCCAATGTTGTTTGGTATTTATATATGTCATTGGAAAAGATAAAAAACTTCTGAGTTCTGATGCAAGATATCAAGAGGTTGAAATCACAAAGGACAATTTTATATATGATATTTTAAAAAAAATCGATCGATTATATTTACTACTCTACAACTTAGAAATATTGGTTACACCTGACTAGGACTTTAATTCTAAGAATATGATTACTACCTTAACTGATCTAAACACATGGGACATATGTTTCCCTCACGATTCTACCCAATCACGTTGCCGATTTTTTGGCTTCGTGGCCCATAACATGGACCATCACTTTGCCACTTTATTGGAGTTTTGTGAAATATGTAGCCACTGGGAGTCATATTTCGAATCAAGTTGTCATAGTAAGTAATTTAATTAATCAAAAATTATAAGATTTAATATTAATATATATTTATCTTTTAGTAAAGGGGGAATTGCATTGAAAAATTGATTGGATCTTTTTTTTTTTTTTTTTTTGAAAGAATTTAATTTTTTTTTTTTTCTTTTTAAAAAATTTTTTTTTTCAAAAAAATTTATTATTTTTTTTTAAAAAACTATGTTAGCTATACCGCCAGGGGTTTGATTTTTGATAATCAAACTAGGTCAGGAACTTTGTTTAGACGGGCCATTCAACCGAGCTAGTTGGATGGAGGCCTATCAGCTAAACAGGTTTAGTTGGTGCTAATTGTTTTCTATATTTGTGTTTAGATTTTTATATTTGAAACTTTAAGGTTTAATTTTCTTAAATGCAAAATTAATGTTTATTTTAATAATTTCAAAAAAATGAGCATGGTTCTTCAAATTATTAAGTTGTAGTATGGTAATAAGCGAATAAAATTTTATAATTACATAAGTAATATTGCAGAAATAAAAAAATGGTTGAGTGGTGCTTAATAATATCAAACTGAAGAAGAGATGGCCTCGATACATAACTATAGAGACAGGTAAATAAGTTGTTGCTTTAATAGTTAACATAAATTAGCTTTTAAACCAGTTTTTATTTGTAGTGGTATCCTTCTACTCTCTTTGACTCAATCTCGACAAGCTTGGACAAGTTTTATTTTAAAAAAGTTTTCTAGCAAGCTAGAAGTTATTCATTAACTCAAATTACTGGAATATACAAATCCAAATATAATTGTTTCACTATTAGGAAAATGTCATATTACTATAGGACCATACACTTTTTACGATACTAAAATTTATGAGGCTATATAAATGCCGAACCCAGATATTTAGGTTGGAAATTTTCAAATCCAGCAACCAACACAATTGGGATCGCTCCAATCTCCAGCGCAACAGCAAACGCAATCAAGTGCACAAAGCTTAACACAAACACCACTGTTAGTTATACAGTTGCCATTACAACAGCCTTTGCCTGCAGCTTATACACAACAATCGTCTTAGGCAAAAACTCTGTCAACTTCAACACAATCATTTCCCAGACCAATACATCCTGCTATACAACCAAGACCACAATCACAATCACAAACACTTTTACAAACACAAGTACCGATTCAACCATGAGTCACTTTACCAAGAATATCTGCACATCCTGTTACTAATACACCACCAACCACTTTGACTTTGCCTATAAATAGTTTAAGTACAAATACAAATGGGAATGTCCTATCATCGTCTGCAAATACAAATGCAAGTGCTACATCTTCTATGCAAACAAATGCAAATATCACATCATCTGCAAGTACAAGTGGTATGGTACATCTTCTACATCTTCTCTCACAAATTTGAATACTAGTACACCAAAAGTTCTACCACAAGCTATGCCACAACTCACTGCATTCATGCAAACTGTACTTCAATCTGTTAATCCAATACAAATATTGGCCATCCAAGAACATTTGCGCCATTCTCAGTCTAGATCAGTGTTGTTGACTAGAAGCTGGAATCTCACTGGATGTCCAGATATTTTCAGTATTCCAGTGGTTCCAAGTTAAATTTCTGAATAAATATTTAATAAAATTAAGACTTCATAAAACTTAGAAGAGCTAGTATATTAAAATTCATATAAATACGACCATTAAAATTAATTTAAGTAATTTTTTAATTTTATAAAAGACTTTATTATATATCAATGTCTTGTTAGTTAATGAAAAACATAATAGATAAAGTTTATTCGCGACCTTCAGTACATTCTGCATAAGTATC